AATGTCTTGGCCTTCCAGTGTGCTAGGATTGCAGGTGTGAGCCACAAGGCCTGACATTAGAGGGAGGGGAAAAAAAAAAAAAAAAAATATATATATATATATATATGTGTATGTATGTATACACACATACATATATGTTTAATGCCAAGGGCAATGAAGTGAGACTCTCCAAAAAAAAAATTACATGACAAAAATAAGTGTAGGCTGGGTGCAGTGCATTTGAGAATACATATTAAACATGGTAGGAATGAGGGTGACAAAGTGAAAGTTTCTCAAAAAACAGAAAAATTGTTTTTATCTGATTTCATAAAATGAAGGAGGAAATACACTTATTTCACTTATTTATATTTATTTATTCATTTATTTAATTATTATTACTATTTTTTGAGACAGTCTCAAGCTGTCACCCTGGGTAGAGTGCCATGGCGTCATAGCTCACAGCAACCTCAGTTCTTGGGCGTAAGTGATTCTCTTGCCTCAACCTCCCAAGCAGCTGGGACTACAGGCACCTTCCAGAATGCCCAGCTATTTTTTTATTGCAATTGTCGTTGTTTCAGCTGGCCCAGGCCGGGTTTCAACCTGCCAGCTTTGGTGTATGTGATCGGCGCCCTACCCGCTGAACTACAGGTGCTGCCTCATTTATTTATTTATTTTGTTTTGGCAGTTTTTGGCCAAGGTTGGGTTTGAACCCACCACCTCTGGCATATGGGGCCGGTGCCTTATTCCTTTGAGCCACAGGTGCCGCCCCTGCCTCATTTATTTATTTTTGAGACAGAGTCTTATTCTATGGCCCAAGCTAGAGTGCTGTGGCATCAGTCTTCCTCATAGCAACCTCAAACTCCTGAGTTTAAGTGATCCTCCTGCCTCAGTCTTCTGAGTAGCTGGGACACAGCAGCCTGCTTAGTTTTTCTAGTTTTAGTAGAGATGGAATCTTGCTCTTGCTCAGGCTGGTCTTGAACTCTTAACTCTTCTTTTTTTTTAATTTTTTTTAAGACAGTGTCTCACTTTGTCACCCTTGGTAGAATGCCATGGTGTCACAGCTCACAGCAACCTCAAACTCTTGGGCTCAAGCGACTCTTTTGCCTGAGCTTCCTGAGTAGCTGGGATAACTGGTGCCTGCCACAATACCCAGCTATTTTTAGGGATGAGGTCCTGCTCTTGCTCAGGCTGGTCTTGAACTGGTGAACTCAGGCAATCCATCTATCTCAGTCTCCTAGGGTGCTAGGATTACAGGTGTGAGCCACTGCACCTATCCTACACTTATTTTTGTCATAAAATTTTTTTGGGGGGGGGGAGTCTCACTTTGTCGCCCTTGGTAGAGTGGTTACTGTATAGAGAATTATTGGGTTGTCATTTTTGTTTTTTTTTAAAGAGACAAGATCTACTTTGTTGCCCAGGCTGTGGAGTGCAGTGGCCTGAGCACATCTCACAGCTCATCACAGCTCATGGCAACCTCAAACTCTTGGGCTCAAATGATTCTCTTGTCTGAGCCTTCTGAGTAACTGGGAGTATAGGCACCCTCTAGAACACCCGGCCATTTTTAGAGACAGGGTCTCACTCCAGCTCAGGCTGATCTTAAACCTGTAGCCTCAGGCAATCCACCTGCCTCAGCTTCCCAAGTACTAGGATTACAGGTGTGTGGTACTATACCTGGCCTTTTGTCATATAATTTTATTTATTTATTATTTATTTTTAAAAAATCATTATTATTTATTTATTTATTTATTTGTATTTATTTAAGACACAGTCTCACTTTGTCATTTTCAGAAGAGTGCTGTGGTGTCACAGCTCACAGCAACCTCAAACTCTTGGGCTGAAGCTGTTCCCTTGCCTCAGCCTCCCAAATAGCTGGGACTACAGGCGCTTGCCACAATGCCCAGCTATTTTTTAGAGACAGGGTCTCACTCTTGCTCAGGCTGGTCTTCAACTCCTCAGCTAAAGAAATCCACCCACCTTGCCCTCCCAAGTGCTGGGATTATAGGTGTGAGCTACTGCACCCAGCCTCGTCATATAATTTTAATAGAAAATTAAATACATTCTAAAAATTATTCCAAAAACGGTCCTTCTATTAAAATAATTCTTAGGTATCATTTTGGACTTCTGAAATAGTGAGTAATTTTGAAATATAAGTATGGAAGTCTGAGGAGGTTTAAAATTATTTTTGATACTTAGGTATGAAATATCTGAATTTTTTCCTTAAAAACTCCAAACATTGGGGGGATGGGAAATGAACAGTCATGTGAATAAAGATTTTAAAAAATGGAAAGACTGTATAGCTAAATAGTTTATCAGCTCATATACAGGCCAATTAGAAGCTTACGTAAACTTAAAAAGGGTTTGCAGTGGTTCTCAACCTGTGGGTCGTGACCCCTTTGTAACAATGAAAATACATCATGGCATTAGGGAGGTTGAGAACCTCTGCAGGAAAGGAGCTATTGAATGTTTAATATCATTTAATCCTTGTTCATGCCATAGGTAAGTTAGAGGAATTAGTATATTCTTTATTCCATACCTTCCCACTCCTTTCTTTTTTTTGCACTTTTTGGCTGGGGCCGGGTTTGAACCCACCACCTCCAGGATACGGGGCCGCCGCCCTACTCCTTTGAGCTACAGGAGCTGCCCCACTTCTTTCTTAAATGCAGAAGATATTAAAGCCTTCATTGACAAGTTAAATGTTATTACAGAAGCTGTAAACTACAAGTTTTTTGAAAGTATTAAGGTTAAATTTTAAGATCTTTTGTCTAGATTGCATAATTATTTCAAATTATTACTGTATAGAGAATTATTGGGTTGTCATTTTTGTTTTTTTTTTTAAAGAGACAAGATCTACTTTGTTGCCCAGGCTGTGGAGTGCAGTGGCCTGAGCACATTTCACAGAAACCTCAAACTTCTGGCCTCAAGTGATCCTCTTGCTTCATCCTCCTGAGTAGCTGGGACTATAGGCACATGCCATGGCACCTGGCTACTTTTAACATATTTTTTGTAGAGATGGGTTCTTGCTATGTTGCCCAGGCTGATCTCAAACTCCTGGACTTAAGTGATCCTCCTTCCTCAGCCTTCCAAAGTGCTAGGATTATAGGTGTGAGCCATTGTGTCTGGCCTGGGTTGCCATTTTGAACCAACACGTTGTAGAGGATGATATATACTTCTTATCCCCGGCAAAATAAACTTAAGACAACTAACTAGCTTACTACTTTTTTTTTTTTTTTTTTTTTTTATTGAGACAGAGTCTTACTTCGTCACTCTCTGGTAGAGTGCCATGGCATCATAGCTCACAGTAACCTCATACTCTTGGGCTCAAGTCATTCTCTTGCCTTAGCCTCACTCCCCCCAGTAGGTGGGACTACAGGAGTCTGCCACAACGCCTGGCTATTTTTAGAGACGGGGTCTCATTCTTGCTCAGGCTGGTCTCAAACCTGTGAGCTGAAGTAATCTGCCCATCTCAGCCTCCCAGAGTGTTGGGATTATAGGTGTGAGGCGCCTGGCCTAGCTTATTACTTATTGAAGTAGTAGGAATATGGAACAGCTAAAATAGAGTAATTTGTGTGGGATAGGTTTCTTTCTAGAAAAATATGAATTATTGGCTCGGCGCCTGTGGCTTAATCGGCTAAGGCGCCAGCCACATACACCTAAGGTGGTGGGTTTGAATCCCTAGCCCGGGCCTGCCAAACAACAATGATGGCTGCAACCAAAAAATGGCCGGCACTGTGGCGGGCGCCTGTAGTCCCAGCTACTTGGGAGGCTGAGGCAGGAAACTCGCTTGAGCCCAGGAGTTGGCGGTTGCTGTGAGCTGTGAGGCCATGGCACTCTACCCAGGGGGATAGCTTGAGGCTCCGTCTCAAAAAAAAAAAAATATGAATTATTACTTATAGATTTTTTTGGAAGAGGGGTGTGGGAGAATATTGAGGAATAGATACCTGAAGTACTGAAACACTTAGATTGCATTAATTCTTACCCTCACATCAGTCCTCCAAGGTAGGAAGTATATTTATCTGCATTTTATAGATTCTTGAAGGTCATAGAGCAAGTAAAACAGGAATCCAGGATTTGAGTCCAGCCAGTTTAGTTTTACTGCATAGATTCTGTACTTTTAACCTGATGTTCTGTTGGTATATAAAAATGAACTTTTAACCTGATGTTCTGTTGGCCATGCAAAAATGATTCATATTTTTTTTTCCCCACAGGTGTAGATTTGGAAGATGGTACTTGTAGTCATCCTTTAATTCCTGATAAAGTCTCTCCCCTTTTACCTGCAAATCATGTGACCATGGCAAAAGGAACAGGATTGGTTCACACAGCCCCAGCTCATGGTATGGAAGATTACAGTGTGGCCTCACAATACAACCTGTCCACGGTACTGTTCCTCTTTTTCCTTCCTAGTTATTTGTCTTATAGAATAAAGGCGATAAGTATTAACCAATGTCTTCATTATTTGATAATAAAGACTTGTGTCACTGAAATTGTGAAATGTTTAGGTACCTAAAGCTTCGTTAATTCTTACTGATTGAGAAGGATTTTCCAGAATTAGCACACAATCAGCACAAAGTTAGCACTAAAGAATATACTCCTGTATTACATGGGGTACTTTTAAAATCATATACTCTTTTTCAAGTAGTAAGTCACATAAGGAAATTACTTTCGGTTCCTGAAAAATGGCAGGGAAATTTCACTAAATAATTGAAAAGAACAATTTGTTGTTTGTTTTAACTAAACAGTCGCCTCTAAATTATTTCACACACTTAGGTTATTTCACGTGTTTTCCCATTGAGTTAAAAGACAAGTTTCAAAGGGAATAGCTGTGCACATAGTTCTGTAAATAAGAGAGACCAGTCAAAAATGTTTTAATGTATTTTGTTACTTTTTAAATTAAACCTGAGGTACATGATTTCATAGCACATTTTGTCTTTGGTGATTTAAATGTGTTACATTCACAGTCCTGTTGACTGAATAAGAAGTACTCAGATTTTTAATGTGGGCAAAAGACTAGGCTATATGAGAAGTTTTTATATACATTGTTTTGCCACATATTATCATAAGATAAAGTATCTTGATATTTCATTTTAATTTTGAATAATTGTAGGATTGTTTAGTGGATGAAGATGGAATTTTCACAGATGTTGCAGGTCCTGAACTTCAAAACAAGGCTGTCCTTGAAGAGGGAACTGATGTGGGTAAGTGTTGTTTATATCTGTTGATAGGTACGGCTTCTGAAAAGCAGTCCATTCTCCCTTCTTAAACTTTCAACAAAAACAAAAAGCTGAAGTTATATTTTGTTTTGCCACATGGTTAAAAATGGAGTTTGGGACTTTCGTATTTTGCTTTGAAGCTGCTCTACTCGTTTAGGCAAATCAGAGCAGTCAACTGGGAGTAAAGTTATTTTAGGGCCATAGAGATAGAAATTAGTGGTATTGTATGGAAAGATAAAATCAAGCTTGGGGCTAGATTAACCGTTCCCTCCTTTTGTAACCTTTGTAAATAACTGACTCATATAGCCTGGCTATATATTAGGATCTTGGGGTCTTCCTGTTTTAATTTGTTCTTTATTCTAGAGACCAGGTGCTATGAAAATCTTTCTTTGCATACACTAGAACAACAAAACCTAGTCTACTATCTATTACCTTCCTAAGGCTACTATGCAAAATCACCATGCCTTTGGTGGCTTAAAACAACAGGAATTTATTTTCTCAAATGCTGGAATCCAGAAGTCTAAAATGAAGATGGTAGCAGGACCATGTTTTCTCTGAAAGTTCTCTGGGAGCATCCTTATTTGTTTTTTTTTTTTTTTTTGAGACAGAGCCTCAAGCTGTCCCCCTGGGTAGAGTACCGTGGCATTACAGCTCACAGCAACCTCCAACTCCTGGGCTCAAGCGAGTCTCCTGCCTCCGCCTCCCAAGTAGCTGGGACCACAACGCCCGGCTATTTTTTGGTTGCAGCCGTCGTTGTTTGGCGGGTCCAGGCTGGGGATTCGAACCTGCCACCTTAGGTGTACGTGGCTGGCACCTTAGCCGGTTGAGATATAGGCACTGAGCCAGCATCCTTATTTGTCTCTTGAAGCTTCTGGTGGCTTCTGGAAATCTCTGGCCTTCTTAGCTGCATCACTCTCCAGTCTCTACCTTTGTTATCTCTCGTGTATCTCTTTGTATATCCTCTCTGTATCTTTATACCAGTCATTGGATTTAGTGCCCTCTAATGTAGCCTCACCTCTCTTAATTATATCTGTAAAGGCTCAGTTTTCTTTTCTTTCTTTCTTTTTTTTTGGCTGCATGCCAAAAAAACACCAATTTATGTTACACACACTTGAAAAATATTATGTAAATCCTAATAATGGTCTAAATTATAAATCTCTTTGCTCTTTTTTTTGAGACAGAGCTTCACTTGATCACCCTTGGTAGAGTGCTATGGCATCTTAGCTCACAGTAACCTCCAACTCTTGGGTTCAGGTGATTCTCTTGCCTCAGTGTCACAGGTAGCTGGGACTACAGGCACCTGCTGCAGTGCCCAGCTACTTTTTTTTAGAGATAGGGTCTTGCTCAGGTTGGTCTCAAACTCGTGGTAATCCACATGCCTCATCTTCCCAAATTCTGGGATTATGAGTGTGAACCATTGAGCCCAGCTCAATTTTCAAGTTGGATCACAGGTATGGGGGTTAGGATCTTTTGGGGGAGGACAAAATTCAACCCATTGAGATCTGGTTTCTTCTGGATTACCTTGGGACCGCTGTAAGATTTGTGGCATGAAAGAACATGACTTTGAACTTCAAATCCAGAATTGTAGATACATGAGGTCTGACAGTTATATTTGCTAACTCATCCTAGAAAAAATGCTACATGCCTCATTGGTGAATATCACTATGGTCACCTTGGGAAGCCATACACTAATGCCAGGGCCTAGTCCACATTTCAAAGCAATTTTAGAGCTTTCTTTCTGGAATGGCCATCAGTGCTATCATCATATTTCACACAGAAGCAAAACAATAGTAATGAATGCTACTCAGCAAGACATGTTGATACAAACACAGCTGTGAGACAGTGATATACCGAGGTTATGAAACCTTACCAAGTTGTTTGTACAGTGCTGCCAATGTAAGTGCTCAATGGCAAGTTCATGAACTTAATTGTTAGACCTAGTATGATGACAGTTTTGAAAAAGAGTTTCAAAATTGCTTTGAGGTGCAGTAGGTGCTGGCATTGGTGTGTAGCTTCCCATGATTACTTCAAAGGTGACCACAGTGATCTTCAACAATGACCTCAGTTTTTGCACTTTTTATAGCATGAATTTATGAACTTAATTGTCATGCCTTGTGTTCTGTTCATCTTTCCTTTGAAGTGAAGAGATGTGGGAATGGCATAATTTTGGAGTCTGATTAGGGTTTTACAGTACTTGTTTTTTGGTCAGAAGATGCTCACATTATGCCTTTGATACTTTAGAAGGTACTAGCTACACTTACTGATACCCATTGGTCCAGCTTTAGTACTCCCCGGAAATTTAGACCATTATTAGGATTTACATAATATTTTTCAAGTGTGTGTAACATAAATTGGTGTTTTTTTAAGTTATAAAGATGCTTCAGACTGCAAAGAACTTTCTGAAAGAAGAAAAAGTGGTACACAGCTATCCCTATGACTGGAGGACTAAGAAACCAGTAATTATTCGTGCCAGCAAGCAGTGGTTTGTAAATATCACGGATATTAAGACTACAGCCAAGGTATGAAAGACATCCTTTTATAAGGGATTAGGTTTATCATTCCCTCAGTATAAAAGGGTTGCTGCATGTGAAGTCAAAGGTGGGGTTTTGGGAGTGGAAGGGACTGTGGCTATTATGATTTGTTTTCATAAAATTATAGAAATTTAGATCTATAAAGACCTTGAGTTTCCAGTTTTTCTTTTTGTGTGCAGAAGTTGAAGTTTTAAGAGGTTAGGTGACTTGACTGAATCACAGAATGGGTAGACTTTTCTACCCAGGGTAGTGAAAGTAGCAGAGAATTAGGACAGAACTGAATTTAGCAAATTGTTTAATCTCTCAGAGTCTCCTTTTCCTTATTTATATGAAAGTGACAATAATGTCTATCTCATGGGTTAAGCATTAAAAGTTCCTAGAGCAGTGTCTGGCACATAATAGGCATTGCTTTGAGTTAAATACTTTATAACTAGTGTTCTAAATATTTGATATATATTTGAGCATTTTCATTTAACATATACGTGCATCTATACTTCTCTGACAAAAACTTAATTCTATCCAATAAAAGATCTTAAATGTGTATGTGTTAACTAGGCTGAATATAAAGATATTTTGTTTTGGCTCAGCGCCTGTGGCTCAAGCTGCTAAGGCGCCAGCCACATACACCTAAGGTGGCGGGTTCGAATCCCCAGCCCAGGCCCGCCAAACAACAATGATGGCTGCAACCAAAAAATGGCCAGGCGTTGTGGCGGGCGCCTGTAGTCCCAGCTACTTGGGAGGCGGAGGCAGGAGACTCGCTTGAGCCCAGGAGTTGGAGGTTGCTGTGAGCGTGATGCCATGGCACTCTACCCAGGGGGATAGCTGGAGGCCCCCTTCCAAAAAAAAAAAAAAAAAAAAAGAAATTTTGTTTTACAGCTTGTATTGGAGATTCTAGCGCAATAAACTGGTTGACCTGGCAGTTTGGGGTCTTTGTGAAAGCTATACTTAGCAATTTATATTTTCTATACTTGTATAATTTGGCTAAATGTAATATATAAAGTATATTTATAAAGTATATTTATTATTTTTCTTCCTTTAAAGACTATTTTCCTTGTAAGTGTTAATATTCGTAAATTCTAGCTCAGCCACATGTTTGGTTGCAGAACATCTTAAGTCTGATGCAGTATGTTTAAGCCAAGATTTTTTTTTTTTGAGACAGAGTCTCACTTTGTCACCCTCGGTAGAGTACCAGTGGTGTCACAGCTCACAGCAACCTCAAACTCCTGGGCTTAAGCGATTCTCTTGCCTCAGCCTGCTACGTAGCTGGGACACAATGCCCGGCTATCTTTTGGTTGTAGTAGGCCCAGGCTGGATTCAGACCTGCCTGCTCTGGTGTATGTGGCTGGTGCCCTAGCCACTGAGCTGTAGGCTCTGAGCCAGCCAAGTTTTTTTATTTTTAATTTTATCATAGACAGTTTTCTATTGCTCTTTGCAGAAATGACAAGAATGGGGACTTATATTTCCATGTTCCCATCACTTAATTTCAAGCATAATTAACATTTGACTAGTTTTGTTTTTTATTTACAGTGCTCTTTCTACCTACAATTTTGGGAAAACAAATCATAGTAGCACAATAATTGACTTTTGGGCAATTTAAGAAAATTTATTCAACTTTTTAAAACTTATACATATTTAATTAAAATAGAGTAGGCATGAGTCAAAACGAAGAAAAATCATCAGAATACAGTGTTAATGCCATTTTTGTTTAGAGGGAAGAGTTGGGATGGAACAGATTATCAGGAAAACATTCTATGATCATCCCAAAGCAGCTGGGCTATGTAATGTTCAGATTCAAATGCGAAAATTAAGTATTATCCCACTTAGCCTACAAATGATAAACAGGAGTCAAAACTATATAGTTTAATTTACATGAACTACATAGCAATTCATTTCTCAGAAATCGACGTTAGCAACTTCTGTGAGAAAAGTGTTTTCATTATTTATTGAGTAAAAAATCTCAAATACAACTACCAATTTTGTTTTTATCTATATCCTTCTACCACCCACCCTTTACCCCTTAACCATTAAATTGTTTCATAGCAAATCCAAGGTATTATTTCTTGTATATTGTATCTTTTCCAGAGTATTTCAGCACATATATTCAAAAGGTAAACTCTTTAAAGCATCCTTCCAATGCCATTATCACCATCTTAAAAAAGTGATATTATTCCTTAACAAAATCAAATTATCTAGTCAGTATTCAAATTTCTTAGATTTTTAAACCAAGTACACAGGGTTAATCAAGTGGCGTTGCAGAGATGTTGCCATTTTGCCAGTAGGTGGTGCTACAAAGGCAGGGGATTTGGGGCAGGGGATTTCTGATAGTTATGGTGAGGAAACTTCAAATCTGCTCTGAAAATATAGGAATGTTTTTTATTAAACATTTTTTTATTAAAAAAATCTACAAGTAGATTTTTAAAAATTAAGTTAACATATTTGGCTTGTTTAAAAATTATTACCAAAAATTTTTGCTGTGGCCCATGCCTGTAATCCCAGCTCTCTGGGAGGCCAAGGCAGGTGGATTGTCAGAGCTCACAGGTTTGAGACCAGCCTGAGCAAGAATCAGATTCCATCTCTAAAAATAGCTGAGTGTTGTGGTGGGCGCCTATAGTCCCAGCTGCTCGGGAGGCTGAGTCAAGAGAATTGCTTAAGCCCAAGAGTTTGAGGTTGCTGTGAGTTATGATGCCCTGGTGCTCTACCAGGGGTGACCAAGTCTCAAAAAAAAAATAATTGTTTTTTTTTTTGCTGTATGTCTATGTTTTGGTAATTGACAAATGAAATCAAATGCTAATAGTTTACAGCTCTTGTGAGGGGCAGCAGGAAGGAGAGTTCTTGAGAGATGGCAAATTGGCTTGGTGCCTGTAGCTCAGGGGTGTCAGCCACATACACTGGAGCTGGTGGGTTTGAACCGAGCCCAGGCCTGTCAAACAACAATGCCAACAGCAACCAGCCAGGCATTATGGTGGGTGCCTGTAGTCCCAGCTACTTGGGAGGCTGAGACAAAAGATTTGCTTCAGCCCAAGAAGATGCCATGACAGTCTACCAAGGGTGACATAGTAAGACTCTGTCTCAAAAAAAAAGAAGATGGTAAATAAAAAGGGAGTAACTATTATTTTGAGAAAGTTGTTTTTTATATTATAGAAACCATAAGCCATACCATGTAAAATCAGGTATATTACAATCTTTATCAAGATAGGATGATGGCTTATTTTCCAGCATTTATAAAATGGTTCAAATCAATTTTGAGTTGATTTTAACTGTAGTTTAGTGAAATATAATACTTCTATTAAAGCTTTTATTACAGTTTTGATCTGGTGTTGATGTAAATTATAAACTGATGTATAAAATCTGCTGTTACATCCTCCAAAGGTGAAATCTGTTGTTGATATTCTTTATTAAGTTCTCTGTTGCTCTCTTTGTTCTTTGCTTCATTTGCTCTCACATCTTTAGTTTTTTAGTTTTTTTCTTTCTTTAGGCGTGGAAGGCATAGGAAGGACTACAAATACCCAAAATAAAGAATTGCATTAGGAGAAATAATGACTATTGTGGAGCATTTGTCCTGCTTTCTCTCACTAGACTTAATTTGTGATTCAATTGCAGGAATTGTTAAAAAAGGTGAAGTTTATTCCTGGGTCCTCGCTGAATGCGATGGTTGAAATGATAGACAGGCGACC